CGCTTTGTCTGCCAACGAGATGCATTCCAGTGCCAGATAAGGAGGTACATCTGAATTTACGACGTCGTATTTTCGCCGACAGCGCAGAATCAGACGAACCATCTCGGAATGGGGGAGGTAGGGATGCCATATTAGCACCTTTTCCGCGCGTGTTTGGACGGAGGAGGGGCGTTCCGAAGACCCATTTAAGCAGAGGTTTGACAGCGAAGACAGGTGATATGTACGTCCAGGCGTGAACAGGGCTCAGGGCATGTACGCTTCAGTGTTGAACCTTTCGAGGCGCCAAAACAAGTTCTAGTATTAAAAACCTTTATCTGGTTAGTCAAAGGCCGCGGTCAGGTAGGCTCCGACACATTCAGTGTGGGTACGAGTAAGAACACGACGCTAACAAAGAACGGGGCTTTGATGAAGCGAGAGCTCCTCGTGGGAAGACTGAAAATTAGACCGTGGGCTATCAACAGCAAGCCGCAACAGCGGCCTCAGAAACCACGGCAGACAGACCGCAGTCCGTGAGAAAGAATCATTATGGCGGGATGAGCTGGACTCGCGGAGTCACTAGCGTGCGTGCAACACTGTTCGTGGGTGTGAGCACGCAAACTCGCCGGACGCTCGACTTTCAGTGGTCGGTTTGCCATTGCTAACATGCTGGTTGGCATGTCGCTTGCCAGACTGCCGTGCGTCAGTTCGGGCCATGCCACCATGCCCGCGTTTCACCAAGTATCCAATCAGTGAACACGTCCACCAGTCGGCCGTTGTCTGTGTGGATGTATTTGCTCTACCACACTGCACATGGCGTACGCAGCTATGTAGTCGGCTAGCAGCATCGTACCTAACTCAGCGTGCGGGGGCGAGGCTCGCTAACCGACTGTCGAATTATGACAGAAAATGTCTGGATTTGACCATCAGTTAATCAGCCGGCGGCACAAAATATAAATGATCAGCACATGGCTAGGCACTGACACAGTTTGTGCTCATCTGACAGCTAACTTGCCAGTCAGTGACACAGAACATGTCGGTGTGCCCGAGTGATCCTCATCCCGCTAAACATTGACCCGGAATGACCGCCACTGGATCGGTCCGCGACACAGGCCGCGGCCGCAGATGTGGCCGTCACCCGTTCCGCCCGCGACACAGGCCGCGACCGCAGATGTGGCCGTCACCCGTTCCACCCGTGACACAGGCCGCGACCGCAGATGTGGCCGTCATCCGTTCCACCCGTGACACAGGCCGCGGCCGCAGATGTGACCGTCACCCGTTCCGCCCGTGACTCTGACGACTCGGCCTTGACCGCTCCTCTCGGTCTGGCCGGTCTGACGAGGGCGGCGTGGGCCTGGACGGTCGGCCGCGGCCGTTACACCCTCAGACGGTGACAAAGCGTCGTGCGCCGCCGCCTCAAAGTGTTGAACTGACACAGGTGTGGAGACAAGGATCGAGAGGCGGGCCAACAGCGTCCTTTCCAATTAAAAAGTATGGCACACACAAAATAAATTTGTTCTGTCTTTAACCCATTAGTTCAGGAAGCAGATGAAGGCGGGGTGGACATGGGGGAGGGGAGGAGGAGTGCTGGCAATCCATCGGAAGTGCATGACGCAGTGACGCAAGAAACGAGTCCAATTTGGCTTTAGAATGCCTCAGCGCCAGTTTGGTTCACGTACCAACGTCCCAGTTATCCCCTGGTCACGCAACTTCTGGGAGCTCGCGCACTCCCGGCGCGGTGCGATTTTAGTTTGGTGCGTTTCCTTGTGTGTCATTAACTGGCCGTATATGGGGCCGTCTGTAATTTATTCGGACTGCGCTATCGTCTATCTAGCCTCGCGCGCGCGCGCGTGTTTCCTTGATATTCATTTAGCGACAAGGTGAACAGGACCCGAGACGCGCCCGCTGTTTCGGGAGAATGATAACGTGCGCGCCACCTGGGAAACTCGGTACCCATTTGGTATCCCGACACGTAATTTGCATCGGATTCGGTGCGGAAAACTACTGAGAAACACCGATTTGCATATTTTTGACATGCCGGTACACCTATCTGCCGCATCGTTTGGAATGTTTGTGGGTGAGGTTTCTTGGGAGGGAGGTCAGCCAGTCGGTTGTGCTCACTGTGCCTTGACTGCACCTGGGATCCATGCAGAGTAACACTGTTGCACCCAACGCAGTCGCACACAACTGCACCTGACTGCCAACATCACCACATCACCGCACCTGATCCACAGCAGTGCCGTATCACTGCACCTGACTCACAACAGTGCCGTGTCACCGCACCTCACTTCTGACATCATTATATCACTGCACCTGACTCACAACAGTGCCGTGTCACTGCACTTGACTTCTGACATCATTAGATCACTGCACCTGACTCACAACAGTGCCGTGTCACTGCACTTGACTTCTGACATCATTATATCACTGCACCTGACTCACAACAGTGCCGTGTCACCGCACCTGACTCCTGACATCATTATATCACTGCACCTGACTCACAACAGTGACGTGTCACCGCACCTGACTTCTGACATCATTATATCACTGCACCTGACTCACAACAGTGCCGTGTCACCGCACCTGACTTCTGACATCATTATATAACTGCACCTGACTCACAACAGTGCCGTGTCACCGCACCTGACTTCTGACATCATTATATCACTGCACCTAACTCACAACAGTGCCGTGTCACCGCACCTGACTTCTGACATCATTATATCACTGCATCTGACTCGCAGCAGTGCCGCATCACTGCAGCCGACATCACAGCACCACTCACATCATCAGCATCACATCACCGTATACGACTCATAAACAGAATGGCGCTACTAGTCTGAACCCTAGTTAGTGACTTCACTGAGCGTGAAGCAGCGAGCAGTGAAGTGAGGCATGCGCACGTGAAGTATCGAGCCCGCCTCCGCGCATGCGTGAGCAGACATGGATGATTGGAGCACTGCGCCTGGCGAAGTAGAAGCCTGAGTCGAAAGTTGAACTGAGCCGTGGCCGCTTGTTGACTTGACTGCTGTTAACTGTAGCCTCGCGTACGCAGTGTTCCGAAATTGTCCCCCAAAACTATGAACGTCAAATAACCATCGAAACGGACTATGTCACGGCGAACACACGACACCAGTCCTGAAAAATGTGTGCCAACACATGCGCTGGCTGTCAACAGTGTACTTCACACTATGCGGGTTGTCCTCATCAGTCCCTGTACTGAGATGCTTGCTGAGAACGACCGTAGAGAAAAACGACATTCAAAAGCCAGGGCATGCGCGTATGCTGCGTATCAGCTAGTAGGACATCGACATCGTCGCTTAGTTGGACACGTTACAACGAGGGAAAACACCTGTGTGAGCCTAAAAGGCTGAATGTTAAAGTATGGGCATTGCGGAACATGTAAGACCTTGATGGCGTATGGAGCCATCACGGTGCCTGTGCCATGATGCATGGAGTGTCTGTCTCTTTTCATCAACGAGCAGCCGACGCGAGCTAGCACCAAGCGTCCAGTAACCAGTTTCATATAACAAACCAAGTAACGCATGCGCTTGACCTGCACAGCTTGGCCTTGGGGGCTTCAAAGGTCACTGTAACAACGTGTCCAGTTCAGACCGTGGATGGTGCGGCATGCTCTCCTGAGTCGTACTGTGCCCTTTTGTAAGTATGGCGCAAGTATGGGAGCATTTTTCTTCACACCGCAGAAATTCTGCGAAGTTTTGGCCTTCACCGCCGGCTAAATGAAGCCACCTGGTGGCGCCTTTGTCATGGTAGTGTTTTGTCCAGAACGTTGCGGCTACAGACAAACTGCAGACAAATCTCAACATTTCTTATGTTGAGAGTTCATCCGGTTTGAAAAGCTGTGTTCATGTAAATTGTTCGTGCTCATTTCCGGATAACTGACAAAACTCAGCTCACGTAAGAACTGCAACGTTGGAAGGCGATATTGTATTTAACTAGTGCCTTAGTCTGAAGATAGCCGCAGGTGCGCAGGTCCTGTTTTGCGAAAGCTTCGATGCATATTTTACCATCCTCTTAGCTTTGGACAGAGACGCATGCGTCGTCTTGAGTTACATGCTGGCTTGCTTCCAAACCTGAGCTACGCTCACGACAACACCCGAAACCCCCGCAGAACAGGACTGGGGCGCGGCTCGGTCCCTTCTGCTGGGCTTTCGCCGACTCCTCCCACTCATCCGGATGCCTACGAACCCACAGCGTGCATAAACGGTAAACAGGGTCATTTACCACCACACCTTGTTCCCGAAGCGACGTTACATACGCGGCCCGGCTACGTGCCGCAGCTCAGAACGGCATCCGCTACAGCTCATTCCAGGGCCAGATGCCCGGCTACGTGCCGCAGCGCCCAGAACGGCGTCCGCTACCGCTCATTACAGGGTCAGATGTCAACGCTGCTGGCTGCAAAATGCTACGAACTATCTGAATGAAACAACTGAGGAAAGTGCAGTGGCTAGCATATTGGTTAATGGGTTATTATGACCTCTTTCAGCACATATGTCCTGACATTAGTCGACCCCGAAGGCTGCACATCCAAAGCAGTCTTGGTATTCACCTTCCCTCCAGTTGCCTAACCTGACCTAAATACCGCACATTATCCCGATCCACTACACTGCATCGCAGCTAATCACTGAAGGCATTGACATGCACATATACATGGCTCTCCCCTTCTTGGATGCCGCTTTTTTATTGTAGCTCATAAATGGCTCCGGACGGAAAGTTGAGGATCAGCGTGATGAGTTCCCATTGAACTGTGTTCCTCACCTCCCGAAGCAAATCCTGCCGACGCCCCTGCCACTGCATTGCCTATCGCTGCAATGCCTACTGCAAATGCTACGGCACGGGGGAGCGCTGCCGGTGTCGCCATTGGCATGCGCTCAAACAGCGCGCAGTTCTGCTGCCGCGCACTAATAATTCTGTGTGAGCGCCCCTCGGCCGCGCTCGCGCTCACGTCGGCGGTCGAGCGTGCGCGTCGCGGCTCTGAGACCGTGCCGTCTGTCCCCCCGCAGGCGGCGGACCATGAGCGTCGTGGCCAGCGACATCATCTACGTGCCGCGAGAGGGCTTCCGCGGGGCGGGCCTGGGGTCGCCGGTGGCCTCACCGGACCTGGTGAAGCAGACCGGCGACACGCCCGGCCGCGCCATATTCCGCGAGTTCGACCACAGCGCCCGCTGGCAGGCCAAGAACAACGAGAAGAACGCCAAACACAAACAGGTGAGTTGGCGCCGAGGACGGCGGGATTTGGGTCGATGGTGCTTATTGGGTGACATATGTTCGTGCTAATGAAATAGCCGGAAAATTGTCGATCACACAATGTCGGATTGACGTATTCTTGCATTCCAATAGATAATCCTGGTTGACGTTTATCATGCTTGGGAGTTCACGGGGCGCGGGGCGTCGCAAACGGTATGAGTCCGAGCTCTGTGACCGTCAAATTACTTCATGCATCACTTCATACATCTCCATAGGGAAAGCTAAATACGTAACCTCTACTACAGGTGAGGTTCCGGTCCCCACACTCTTGTTTCTACACAACTGTACGCAGTAAAAGTACACACGGAGCATGGCGAAAACATGTGTATGCATACAAGCTCCCTTCAACCCAGATATTTGGCCCTAACATTAAACTGAGCTGCGTGTGTATGTATGTGTGCTAACTCCGCTGGCAAAAGTGCCGTCTCACGCCGCAAAACGCTCTGCCAGACCACGGTGCATCACTCCAACGCTGGAAGGCTTTGGTGCCCGGGAAAAAACGCCTGAGAACTTTGGCAAATACCGGGAACGATCTACTCAAGGCAACGAATCCGCACTCACCGCTGAAGTCGACCTTCCCACGGTCGGCCGAGCGCATCGGCGCCCAAATACCGGGCGTCGCTGGCCGAGGGGGCGGGGAGGGGGGCAAGCAACTGAGCTGTTGGGCAACACCGATCGAAGCTCTCCAACCGGTTACCTGTGAATGGACTGTCAGACGCCGGCTGGTCGACTCTGACTGATACAAGCTGGTGGACACTGGTCGTGACCATTCAAAGCCAACAAATCAGCACTGGCAGAGGCTTCCCACCACCGGCTGGTCACCACTGAAGGAGTAGGCGGAAGCCAGCTGGTCAACACTAATCCCGATATGGTATGGTTCTACGAGCCGGTGTGGGTCTAAGTCAGGCCACACTTGGACTCGGTCGGACTTTTTGCTTTTTGCCGGGAATCAAGCGAGTCGGCCGCCTTTACAAATGAATAAGATTCGGGTTCAGACTGATCAATTTGAAAAAGGGTCGCGGATCGGCCTTGGATTCAACGCAGGACTTGTGCTTGAATTGACATATCATAACAGCTTAGGGTTCGAACTAAAAGACTCGAGCTATGGTTGAGGGGGTTTTAAATAGTAAGACAAACCTTGTGGAAAAAGTTTGGTGTTAACTACACGAGTGGTTATTCCCGTGCCTACCGGGCTGGGCAGGATTGGGTGAAGCGGGTTCGTTACGATTGCTTTCGGATTGAAGCCGTCAGATTGATTAGCTTGAATTTGTTTGGGTTAAGCTGCGAAGTTTAATCATCGGTTAATTTAACTTTAAGGACATTAAGTCATTCCTACTATTCACTAGCTATTTCCAATGGTGACTCGGCAAGACCATGAGTAAGGGTCCGGTGATGCTAAGGTTAGGTGGAGTTGGGTTAGAGGTGTGTTCAGTGTTACCCCCGTTACGATTGCACCCTTGACGATCGCTATCGCCGACACGGATCCGGTGAGACACCATCGTTGTCTTGGGCAATCCCGCAAACGCTGACGGACTCGGACATGTGAAACTTTATGATTCAGACATGTCCTGAATTTCTGAGGACTCGTTGCGGATCCCGACTCAGAGCCGTGAAAATGATTGGACTCGGATCCGTACCTGACTCATCAAAGTGATTGGACTCGGATCCGTAACTGACTCATTAAAGTTATTGGACTCGGATCCGTCGCTGACTCATTAAAATGATTGAACTCGGATCCGTGCCTGGCTCGTTAAAATGATTGGAATCGGATGCGTGCCTGGCTCATTGAAGTAATTGGACTCGGATTTGTAAGGTGCGGGGACTGAACAAGAGACACAAACTCAGACTTAAGGTACCCGGATTCGGGATATGAATCATACACAATGTGACAACGGTGGACTCAAAACAAGGGCTCAGATCAAGGGCGCCAGAATTAGTGCTCGAACTCAAGGTGGTCTGGGTGGTCTGGAGGCGCGGACCAGACACAAGGCACCAGGATTTACACTCAGTCTCGGGTTCTTCAGACTCGACACTACCTGGCCGAGACCACCAGACCCCAGCTGGTCACCACCGACCCAGACCAGACCAGCTGGTCGTCACCGAACAGGTCCGTTCGAGACCAGTGGTTCAACGATGACGGAAACCATCAAAGACCAGCGGAGCAACGTAGACTGTCCAAAACCAGCCGCTCAACAACTAGCCGGCGTTATCAAAGACCAATCTGAACTGACCAGACGCTGCTGACCGAGGTTATCCAAGACAAGCCGGCCACTCAAGTAGCTATCATATCAAGCCCGGCTACATCGGACCAGAGATTGTGATCGCTGGCTCCGACTGCCACGCGCCAGCTGGTCCGACACACACCAACTGTCGGAGTCCACCCAAGCCTGGCTTGTTTTCCCGGCCGGGACCGTCCGCCCGTGCTCATCTTACGTGGACACTAAACGCTCTGGCAAGGTCAGAGGGGGCATTTTTTGTGGAGAAACCTTCGAATGCCGTCTCAGGGTAATTCGTTCACAGAGGCGGCCCCCTGCGTGCCCGGCGCACGTTTAATACCCGACGGCGTAGGAAGCTCCAGCCGAGAGGTGCGTCGCACAGGCGGAGCCCCACCGGCCTCGGATTGGGCGCGCGTCGTAACTTCCACTGTCAACGTTCGTAATCACGCACCACCCACGTCTTACGGGTCTCTCTCTCTCTCTCTCTCTCTCTCTCTCTCTCTCTCTCTCTCTCTCTCTCTCTCTCTCTCTCTCTCTCTCTCTCTCTCTCTCTCTCTCTCTCTCCCTCTTTTTCTCCCCCCTCCCTGCTCTTTCTCTCTCTCTCTCTCTATCTCTCCCTCTCTTTCTCCTCTCTCTCTCTCTCTCTCTCTCTCTTCTCTCTCTCTCTCTCTCTCTCTTCTCTCTCTCTCTCTCTCTCACGCTCGCATTTGACTGTTCTGTGGTCCGTTCCAGCTGTTCGGCGTGTTCCGCCACGACGCCTTAAGTTCGACGCAGCTCCGCCAGTGCAGCCAGCTGACCTCCGTGACCACGGGGCCGGCCCCGGGTCAGGTCAGGTCAGGGGAGCACCAGGCGCGACCCTCGCACCACACCGCCAGCAGACGGTCTGTGCCGTCCATCACATCTCTAGTGAGTACCTCAAGAACCAACGGTACCAGCGGCTCTGATTGACTAAATATCGGAACACATCTCTAGTGAGCACCTCAAGAACCAACAGCACCAGCGGTTCTAATTTACTGAACATCGGAACTTCGTAAAGAATGTGACTGGCTTCTGTTCGTCCTTGTCTGTGTGGGGTGTGGTCAGATACTGGCAGCAAGTCGTACGTGCTCGTGACCCTGTGCCGTGTGTGCCGCTTACGTGAGGTGTGAGGCGCGTCTACTAGAAAGGTTCGGTGTGACACAAGTTTCCAATGCATAATCTGCCGATTTGTTTTCAAACCGATGCAACCCCCGGTCGGCGAGAAACCCGGCCGAAAACTCTGGTGCCTCGGATTTCTTTTTTCGTCTTTTCTTGCGCACTTTAATTTTGTCGTTGCCCGTGTAAATCATTGGGTTGGGCCTATAAGTATGGTTTGCAGAATCTGTGTTCTGCAACGAGGCAAATATCCCGACCTTTAACGTCTTCTGCACCCCTGTATACTGTATGCATGCAGATCAACAACAATCACTTTTTAAGCTTGTTCGTCTGTCATTGCCCTTCCTTTACAGTGACAGGCAAATACCATCTGAAGTTATCACATACTCATAAAATAGACTCCAGCTGATTCATCCTCTTTCTCCTAAGGAAGTCTCCCCTGCCGTTTCGACATTTTCGGTGCGAGCTATGCTACTGTAAGTTTAAAATGACAATGATTGACTTTAGGCGTACGAAACGATACCCGCAAATGGACAACATGTAAAAATCCCTTGTCTGGTTGCGCCGGAAGCCTTTCGAACAGTGCGCTCTGTACGCCCATCCGACACCGTACTCGCACGTCTGACAAAGCCTGCCAGACAAATGCACGCTTATCAGACAATAATTAGGCTACTACTTTCGCAACGTGCTTTGGGCGAAGTGTCCAAGTTATTTGACGACAAACTTACCTGTGGTAAAGCCACTGATGACATTATCCGCCAGTGCCAAAAAACCAACAAAACATGACACGTAAGCAATCCATGCAGACGATGAGGAAACCCCAAGCCACCACCATTCGCATTGGTTGTGAAGTGATCTTTCGCTGGCTCTGCCAAACTCAAAACAGCAACATCGAGTCCGCTGGCAGCATGACAGTGCCGCAAGCAACCGGAAAAGGTTAACCGTTACCTATTGCGATACGTCATGGGTTTAGCCCCATTCAGCCAATAAGTCATGTGTCACCAGTTTACCGTGTATCAACCGTACTTTGACGCGGAAAATGACCCGCGCGGTTTGCCGGCCGGAGTCCTGCGGGAGATTAGCGCGCGGTGCCAGACGGTTTCCGCTTGCAGTGGCGAGCGTCACCGACAAGCCTGGACCGTGACGTTTCCTCCCCAGTCATTCAATCGTGACGCCAAGTGACTTCAGCAGGCCGTTTCATTTATCTCCGGAGAAAAGCGGCCCTGAAACTGCCTACTTTCGGGTAGTGTTCACCTCGCTCGGAGTTTGACAGGCGCCGGGCGCACCCGGGCGGTGGACGGCCTGTGAGCAGAGGCCGCGGCTGGAACTTAGGCTCCTTTGTCCGCACGAGCCGCACCGGTCCGTGGGTATCGCCTCTGACAGCGAGAGGCCCACGCGGACAGATAAACGGATAGCCTGGAATCGCGGGCCCGCCCGATGGCCCTCACCTCGTCAACCTGTCGTCTTCTTCCGGTCGTCCTCTGGCCTTGAACCAGTCGCCGCATAAACGGGTACCGACACTAGCGCCACTCGTGGCGAATGTGGAGAGCTCTGCTGTACCGTCCAGCACATAGATGACAGTCTTTGTCGCTGACTTTGTGCCCTAGTTGAACGACGCCACCCATGCTCGGCTTTAAGATCATGCTTCCTAAAAATTACGCTGATTTTCGCAAAGCTGGCTCTTGCCATGGCTTGAAGAGCGGCCCAGATGCTTCCTGAGCAGCTGGAGCTGTCTGACAGGACCTTCTCTGGGCCGAACAAGGACGTCTTTGGGTTCTGACACAGCCCTGAGAGCTTGCTGTTAAACATTCCATCTTGGGGCTGTCTCTGGCACGCCTTCTCTGGGAGCTGTCTGAGATACGCCCTTCCCCGCTGGGAGCTGTCTCTGACACGGCCGGCTCTGGGAGAAGCTATGGAGACACAGACCTCTCTGAAAGCCGTCTCTGACACGACACCTTACTGTAAATGTCTGTGGCACGGCCGTCTCTGGCAGCTGATCTCTGACTCCACTCCTTCTGAGAGTTGACTCTGACACGTCCGTTGAGGTTACAGTCACTGACGCCTATGCCACTGTCCCTGATTGTGTGACAGGCCGTCTCTGGGACTTCGCTGAGGCACGGGTCCCTGACGGAATGAGGATCTGACACGGCTCCCCGAGGGAACTGAAACCTGATACGGCTCCCTGAGGGAAATGAGATCTGACATGGCTCTCTGACGGGGTTGGAATCTGAAGCGGCTCCCTGAGAGGGTTGGAATTTGAGGCGGCTCCCTGAGAGAGCTGGGATCTGACGCGGCTCCCTGAGAGGGTTGGAATCTGACGCGGCTCCCTGAGAGAGCTGGGATCTGACGCGGCTCCCTGAGGGAAATGGGATCTGATACGGCTCCATAAGAAAGCTGGGATCTGACACGGCTCCCTGAGGGAGTGGGGATCTGACACGGCTCCCCGAGGGAGTGGGGATCTGACACGGCTCCCTGAGAAGGTTGGAATCTGACACAGCTCTCTGAGGGGATTGGAATCTGACACGGCCCCTCCCCGGGAAACCGTCACTGACACGGCCCTTGCTGGGAGCTGGCACTAATTACCTCCATGAGGGTATTCTCTGGAGCGCGAGGAAGACAGTCCTCTTTCGGATCTGGTTAAAAAATAGCCGTCTCTTGAAGTCGGCTGTAACACCTCTCTGGAAGCTGACCCTGGCAGTGCCCATCCCTTAGAGCTGGCCCGGGCGGCGTTTCGTCACGGGTGCTGATGAGTGGCCGGCTGCATTATTCATGGTCCGGTGGCGGCGTTGGCGCTCTGTGCCGCCGGTTCGGAACGCCCGGCCGCCCGGCGGTCTGGCCTGGCGCGGCCTCACTGGCCAACCTTGACCTTAAACGGAGTCACTGAAGCGTACACTCACGGCGGAAGCTGGGTTGGTACTCATTACAGCTGCGCGCCGATCCGTGGCTAGTACTCAGCCAGACGGTCCGCACTCGAAGGCTCAGCAGCCGGGCCAACTTCTGCACGATGAGGGTTGAGATGACACCATGAGCATATTCAATGTACATTCGATGACACCATGAGCATACCGGCATATTCGGGTCAGTGAGACGCAACAAGACGTGAACGATAATATTTACGTTGTCCGTGGCAGCACAGGCCACAGCCAAAGACAGACCTTGCACGTCTTAACAGGCGCAGCGCGTCAACATTTACACGGATTTAGTCACAGTTACGCACATTTATTGCGTCAACATCTACAAATCCTTTCCGTAACGGGCTTTACCACCCGCATTCCCTTAAAGCGAGCTGGAGTCCAAGTTCAAACAGCTGTTAAATCTGCCGTCAGTTGGCTCCCTCCACCTGACATATCGCGCCCGGCTGATGCCACCACATTCCGCGGCGGCCTCAAACGAGACCCGCAGCACGCGGGGCGTGTGCCGCACCTTTGTGCTGTCCTGCGGCGAGCGTTCGCAGCGCTGCCGGCCGAAAGCATAGAATTGTCGGTTTTGCTCCACTCACGCGGCGCCCCATTCAATAGCATCCGCGCTTACAGACGAGGTCGGTCGGCCGCCCATAGTGGCATGATTGGGTGCCGTGCTGGAAGCGTCCCGCCCACCGCGGCGCCGGCGCCCGGCACGCAGCGCCGTCGATCCAACGGTGCCAGTGCCGCCCGTGCAACCGCCTGTGAGAGGGGGCCGGCGGGGTCCGGCGGCCGGCGCCCTGCACTGGTCAGACCGCCGCCGGCGCAGACGCCGGGTGACCGCTCACTGGCTGGCGGCGCGGCCCGACTGACGACACCGCTCTGAAAATGCCACAGGTGATGTGATTCCGCACGCGAGGAGCTCGCGGCTGGACGGGCCCAGGGAATCGGATTGGTGAGCGAACTGCCTGCGATCCACATGAGCAAATATGGCACGTGAGTACAGCAGGCGGCGTTCGTGAGCAGCAGGCTGGTGACGCGAGTGAAATTCCAGCGAAATCAAGTGTCTTTCGGCATCGTAAGAGCAACCACAAGAGAGACAAGAACTTGGGTGCATGGTGAGAACAGCAGCAGGAGGAAGGCCTCCAAGCGTCTCTCATGCGC